AAGAGCAATTTTCAAGTGGTCGTTTATTGGCTGCTATTTCATCACGCCCTGGCCAATGTGGTCGTGCTGATGGGTATGTTTTTTTTTTTGTTGAATATATTTTTTTTGAAATGAATATGTGGAGAAATAGAAAAAAGGGATTAATGAGTGGAAGTTGATTTTATGTTTGCAGATATATTTTGGAGGGAAAAGAGCTTGAGTTTTACATGAAGAAACTCCAGAAGAAGAAAGGAAAGGGTGCTGCTTAAATTGTTTTTAATATGCTTATTTTTATTCAGTTTGAGTTTAATAGATTTTTATCTTTCTTTTTTTTACCCTGTGAAAGCCATGAAACTGAAATTTTGACGTTTTGAAATGTTGTTTTTGAATATTTAAGTTTATGTAAGCTTCACTTTTCTTTTTATCAATACTAGTAGTACAATTGATTCCAATCACTTAATTCTTTTTTAATTCAAAGTTACTCATAAGACATAAGAATTTTCGTAAGTTTTTGACAAAACCTCATAAATGGTCTCCCTGAGGATTCCTATGTTTTGGTCCCCAACTTTTTTTGTGCTTAAGGAAGGTCTCTGTGGTTTAAGAACTTTTCACAGCAAATTCTTTTTGTTTACTCTGTCAGTTTTGGTTTGTTATGATAAACATAAAAATGGGGAATTCAGTCTTTAAAGAAACTAAGTTATACTAAAACTTGAAAATTGCAATTAAACAAGGAAATAGTTTGGTTCTAAACAATGAGAAAGAAATGGTTGAAGTTGGCCTTTCACCACATGAAAAATGTAATTAACTTATCATTGTATGCTGTGGTGTAATATTTGTTATTTAATTTAACTTGGCTATATTGACTTAAAAGCTTAAGTCACCTATATTTTTCTTAATTGGTATAATGGTTAGACAAGCCAATAACATATTTTTTAAGTTAATCGCAAATCAATGAATCTATATACTATGAAAGATAGTTAACTAGAAAGTACTTCCATAAACTTTAACCACAAGTTCGAAAATAATCTTCAAAATAACTAGTCATTTATGGGTTAAACCAACATCAACCAAAGATAAAAATCTTCAAGGGCTCTTCCAAGCCTTCAAACTCTCAAAATCTCTAGGAGAAAACTCACAAATCTGATCCAAAACTTATGCAAAATAACTCCACCAAACTTTCTCATATAGCTGCCAAATGTAAAAAGAGAAATTTGTCCTTAATGACTTACACAAACCGTGTAAGCTATAGTGTAAAATCCGCACGGACCGTGCAAAAGTAGTTTGACAGCTTTGAATTGCACTGAAAGGTCCTTTTCACCAAGATCTTTTTTGGCTATTCCTCTTTTTTGTCCAAATTTGCTTAGACCCGAATTTTGGTCCAAATACCCATCAAATGTAACATCTATTGCAGCACTCGATCTTTCAATGTTTGAATTAATTAAGAATGAAAAACCCAAAATTTAAGAGTCTTGACATGAGAGATAGTGTCTCACGACGTGACTTTAGGTGAGGACACATGACCATTTTAAGGCTCACAACGTGACACATAGGTGTTCACGTCATGAGATTAGGCTAACCTTATTCATGTGTTTTGCTCCCTATTTAAGCGAAGTGGGAGGCTAGGGTTTGCATACCCTCAACCTCAACCACCTTCTTCCTGCCTAAAATGTTCATAGCCTCCATTAGTGACCTTAAAGAGTTTAGTTAGTGGTTTTTGGCCCTTTGAAGAAGAAGACTCCTTAGGTGCATCCTTTTAGCAATCAAGCTCCTACCTCATCATCTTGCTATGCTTTTAGACCTTTGTAAGTCATGAAGCTCCTACCTTTATCTCTAATACATGCTAGATCTAAGATTTATGCTTTCTTTTTCATGGATGGGTTGGGTAGCATGCATGGGATCCAAAAAGTTAGCAACTTTATGGATCATTAAGGCATTTCCTATTAGTATGAGTTCAGATCTGAAGTTTGGTGTTGGTTTTTGACTCCAAGCATGAGTCTTGATCCCATTATCTTCTTATTGACCTAGTTAGTGTTCAAGTTATGCATTAGACATGCATGACTATAAAGCTTTGATTTTTATGGTCCTTAGGGTTGGGGAAGACCCTCTTGGAAGTCTCAAGGAATGACTTAAGGGATTAAGAGCTTAATGCTAAAAGTTGTCGAAAGCGGATCTCACGACGTGAGCAATAGCAAGCATGTCACGTCGTGAGATGTGGTATTTGCGACTGTTTTGTCCTTTTCCAGTTACGGCGTGACCTATGGGTGGTCATGACGTTACTGTTGGCTGGAGTTGACCATGATTGACTTTTTGATCTTGGTTGACTTTTGGGTCAAGCTAGGGTTTTAAGGGTGTAGGATGATAGGATATGACTTTACTGTTGTTAGGTGTCTTGTTGATCCTGTCGACCCTGTTTATGAGAGTAGTTGTGTTTCTAGCTACTACCCGCAAGGTGAGTCTTCTCACTACTTTACCTGTATGGTATTTATGTTTGTGACCGGTTGGATCTTTATTGTTGTTTTTTGTTTTGTCTGAATTGCATTGTTGATACTTTGGGATTGCTGATAATCCCCAAGGTTGCTGATAACCCCTAAACATGTTGTCAATCCACAAGGCGTATTGTTAGCCCACTGAGATTGCTGATAATATCCATGGTTGCTGATAACCCATAGAGATCGCGGGATGGCGAAAGCATGACTGTACACTACGACTTGCATATCTTTTTATGATTTCCGCATTTTGATACTCTGATTTGGGATGATTGTATTGATACACCTGAGATTTCTTGTTTTGGGTTTTATGATACTTGGAGGTTTTTGCTAATATAAAAATGAAAAAATTGTTGGAAATTTTGGTTTGTTACATCAAAATTAAGTCCAACTAATTTTGCTATCCCCGATCATCTCCGCTCCATGCTAGTATTCTAAAAATCTAAAATTATACACAAAGACTAGAAAATTTCCCGAAATAGAAAAAAATATATGCATGATGATTAACTAAAAAGAAAATAAAATATGTTAAAATATAAACTACAAAAAAAAAAAAAAGAGTAAATAAAATACACCTATATGTCAGTTGAAGGTTTAGCCAAAAACAAGATCAAAAGCAAATAGATAGTCTATATTTTGATATAGTAAGTCAGTTTTATTTGTTTAATGATATAGTAAGACAATTTTATTTGTTTAAACTGTTCAGTTAATCGATAGCCATACATAGATAACCATAGAAATATTTAATTGGTGTTACATTCCAGAACGGTTTAACTTATAAAAAGATGCGTGTTGACGATAAAGAAGTTACGCATGGTATTTAATTGCTCTAGGAAAGTACTTATGATTATTAATTAGCAATAAACTTTATCCCATGTGAATTATATAAGGGTTGAAGAGCACAACCAAAAAATATGGATTGTGTGTGTTCATGATGAAAATCAATTTACAAATCCCATAAACGAAAATTAGAACTCAATATTCAAAAACCCACACATCTTGAATTTGAGTTCTCAAACATTTGGGTTCATATTTTTCAGATCTTTGGGTTCATCGAGTGCGCATAAATTTAAAACCAAGGAAAAACACAGAAAAAATTAAGTGTGTTCAAGTGGCATGTGGGTTCATCTTCCCATAAAACTCATAAAAAATCGATATTTTTAAGAAATCAAGTGTGTATTTATGTGTAAAACCAAAGAAAAAACTAAAGAACCATTAACACTAATACATCCTAGAAATCCTAAAATCGAGTGTGTTCTTGAACAAGATAGGTTCTTAAACATTGTGAACAATCACTCCAAAAATCAGATATTGAGATCGCATCTTCAAATCTTGATGTTCTTGAGTGAAACATCATTAATCATAAATAAGATCTTTGATGTTTCTTGTGCATGTATGTTTCCATAAACATAGAACGAGAGTAAATGAGAAAGGATAGAGAGAAGAGAGAGGAGTGAAGTGTCGTTTCATGTGTTCACATGTTTATGTGTGAAAATTTCAGATTTTGAGTTATAGAAACTCAGATGAAGAGTAGGGTCACCATAAAATCATGTTGGCTACACACTCGTTGGAGCTCTCAGAGACATTAGAAAGCGGTCAAACCTACAATAGCAGTCGTAATGGTGTTGCAAGCAGTGGCGGAGCCACAGTGTAATAATGGGGTCCATGGACCCCACTTGAAAGTTGATATTAACCACATTTACTAAAATAACCCTTAAAAAATTCAAGGTTTCTTGAAATTATCCAATTTGGCACTCACTTTTGCTGAAAAACAACCCTTAAATTTTTTTTTTTGCTGAAATTATCCTTTTGACACCTACTTTTACTGAAAAGACATACTTTTGTAATATTTTTAACAAAAAAACTTCCAAAGAAACCTCAAAATTTCAGAATTTTTTCTAGGTTCAAATTTGTGGTTAGTTTTTCATATAAGATAGACCCCAGTAATATTTTTTTTCTGGATCCGCCATTGGTTGCAAGAGACGCCGGAAACCTTAAACCTACAATAATCGGTCATAATAGTGTTTTTTGAACAATATAAACAAGTTTAATAATGATATGCGTACAAAAAACATAAATAATTAAAACATCAATACTCATCTTATTAAACTGTAATTTTATTTTTTACACATAACTAAAGCTTATTATTTTTATTATAATGTTGTATTTGTTAAGCTTTTATTATGTTTACTCTTTTTTTTTTAGCTTTGTAACAATAAATTCTACAATATAATCAAATAATATATTTAATAGTTTTAAAACTATAACTTGCATTTGCATACCATATAAAGTTTTCGTATGAAAATTCATTCCTTTCATTCAAACCAACACCAAATATAATCATAGAATAAAATGACTCATTCCATTATCTTTTGCATATTCAATTATATCCATTTGTCAATTTCATTTCATTCCAACCAAACATACTCTAAATATTGATGACCTTAGCAAACACATACAATGCAAAATCAAATAGTGTTTGCTACTAGTTTGGTGGATTTCATCATTCGTAGGAGTGGATATGAAAGAATTGAATTCCATTCTCCATTCTTTTATTAAAAAGACCAAAGTGTTCATACAAAGTACAAACCCAATACTCATTAAAAGACCAAACACATCCAACAATATCATTTTTGTGTGGTATAACGATGAAGTCTTTTCATGTTAAAACTCAATATATCTTAGGATTAATGTGGTACTCATCTCAAAGGTACAACTTTCACAACAAACTACATACAAAATCAAAGAAAGGATATTTTGGTCATTTACCACACTTCCTATTCCATTTCCCTGCCAACCAATCCAATTCCTTTGACATGAAGTGAAATTAGTCTTTGTTTGGCTGGGTAGTGAATTTGTCATACCCGTATTTCTTTTTCAACCTATCTCTTACATAATCATTTCGGGCTTTTATTCGAGCTTGTTGAGGGGCAATATGGACATAAGAAAGATACAAACCAATGCCAAAAAGAGATGAACCACCAATAAACAAACCCACAGTCATCCACAGCTTATTAGGCGTTGAGGGAAAGCACAACACCATATGGCCTTTTATTATGCACACTGTTAAAAAAAAAAAAAACAACACAGATTAACTAACATATATATACAATCTGTAAGTTGCATTTGAAATTAACCACTACAGATTTACAATGTAGCTCATTTATTGGAAGGTGGGGAATAACCTAATAATACGGCTTCAAGGACTTGGAGTTATAATATGTCGATATACTGATGAAATTGAAGACACTTATGCACATGGAAAGACAATATGAAAGGATTCAAAAGCTCTATTTCCATAACTGAGCCAAACGCCTTTGGTTACGATGTAATTTCGATCACAGTCAATGTATGCTAAAATGAATACCTAACTGGCATTTCGTCGAACATGTAACGTGCAATTTCTTTCGACACCCATCGTAGAAAGATGTTATTTAATGAAATCAGGTGAAGCATATATTTAGATGAGGATCTATGCACATGTGTATGCAGATTGAAAGGAAAGAGATGAAATCGACATACCCACCACCAATGTTTCTTGTAATTCTGTCTTTGGTCGTGAGAGGGCTTTCGGAAGAGATCAAATCGTTAAATGTAAAAATGAATTTTTTTACAAATAGTCCTCCAGCTATTCTCAATGTTCATTTTGTATGTGTTCAGAGTTTCTTTTAACATTTTGCTTTTGAGTGGAACTTTTTGTACAAAATGATTCATACTCTATCTTCGTGGTTGTTAGTCCCTTAAAAAGGCCAACTATTTTCACTCAAATGTATTAATGTGATAAAATAAGCAGGTTGAGCGATGAGTTTAAATCAAAACATTTAATGTTTAGTATGTGTTTAATCGACGAATTCACCTCTATATATATATATATATATATATATATATATATATATATATATATATATATATATATATATATATATATATATATATATATATATATATATATATATATATATATGTGTGTGTGTGTGTGTGTGTGTGTGTGTGTGTGTAGAGGAGACAAATATTGACACGACACGTTAATCCAACATGAACTCAACACAAAATAAACGAGTTTTGAGTAAGATATTTCAACTCGTTTAATTAAACAAGTTGACACGGCACCACACGAAAATTAAACAGTTAATGTTAAAGTTGAGAATTTTAACTCGAAAATGATTCATTTATTTGTTTGTAAGTTTTTGAATTCTTTGGATAAACTAGAAAGACTCAAAACCAAAACCATATGTAAAAGAAAAATTATAGGTTAAGTCATTCTGTAATGTGGAAACAATTTTAACCATCTATGTTAAGACTTCATTTTCAGTTTTTTCTATTCTCTCCGATGTATACAGTAATCCTTTCGACCACTCTCATCTCCTCGTGATTTTGTCCCTATGCCTCTCTAACTCACACGTAATATGAATTTAACCATTTCGTCTCCTTAATAATATTTTTTCTTTCCTACCAATTAAACTCCCACTCTTTCCACATATTTTGTGTTTCAAGTTTCAACCTCACAATATACAACACATTTCAAGGTCTAACTATGAAAACCGACACAAACTCGACATGAAAATAATCGGGTTGACACGATCCAACATGATAATTACATGGATCTGGTTATGGTCAAACTCTTTAAACCAATTTACTGTTTCAACAAGACATGTTTTTTCCATGAATCCGTTTATTCAGCAAAAACATATGTTTAGAATCAACCAGGTATATGTTGTTATGTCCGATAAAATTTGGATGATTTATATCAATAAATAAGAAATTTGATTCATTTGTTGATGAGGTTGCATCTGGATTTGAATCGGGAAAAAGGTAGTTTCTAGTTTTTTTCTTCAAAAAATGACTGGAATTTTAAATATGGTTATAAAAGTTATATTTATGATAACAATAATTTCTTTATAATAAATTAATATGTGAAGTTTTATGGATTTGATTACATTTTTTTTTCAATTTTCGATTTGTATGTCATGTTCGACCCAATTTGACTTGTTTCGATTCTTGGAGTTTTTAGTTCTATCGATAAAGTATAACAAGATTCACTTATTGTTTATAATTGGATTGAAATAGTCATGTCTTCCTATTTTTATTTAGCCACGGTTCTAGCTGTATCATATCCTTTGTTTTATCATCTCATACTTACAATTTTTCTTAATTTGTATTTAGAGTTATGTCAATGGCTCACCAGGTACCATACCATTGGGCATCAAATAGCGGAGGTCTCAAGTTTAAATCATGGGGGTTTCAATCAAGGGTTGGTCATGAAAAGGGTGTGTAACGCAATCCCAAAAAATGCTGCTTAGTATCTTGCGAAGGTGATCCCTCTTCCTCAAACCTCATAATATCAGAGAGCCTCAGTAGGCGGTGGGGGGAACCCGTTGTGTCGTTGCTAATAGTCCATTGTCACCAAAGACATCTTTAAGCATCTCAACATAATGATCGAGACCTTGCTTCTCTAAATCACATTCATTCCTTTGTTTCAATCTTACATTAGGTAAAGCAAGTCGATTTAACAAGAATTGTAATGTAGAAGAACTCTTATGAAGCCAATATACTCACATATGACACTATCCTATAATTTAATTTATTTCGACACATAAAAAATAAAAAAATAACCTACCACCTAAATCGTTATAAGCCATTTGGCTAGACATCTATATAACCACACTCGTTTTAGTTTTATTGTTCATCAAAAGCACATCTCATGTACTTGCTTTGTTGATATGGATGTAACAATATATAAGTTACGTTTGAAGTTCAAGTCTTGACATCACCTTTGTTGCTACGAGAACATTGAGATTCTCTTCCCTACATTGACCATACCATTGGTTGATGGGGGCATTTAAGGATGAGGTTTATCATTTTTTGTAAGAAAAGACAGTTGAACTTGATGCAAAGTAACAAATCCGTTTAAGTACATTCCCTAAGACTTTAAACAATCTATCCATACCTTCTTTTATCGTTGTACTACACACAATCATATGTTTCTTATTTTATTTTTTTTTACATCTATATGTTTAGGCTTAGTAAAGAAAATGAGATAAAACATTGTTAAATCGAGTAAAAAACATGAGTAGATAAAAAATTGAAAGCGAGCTTATTGTTAAGGACCATCATGCCCTTCAAAATTAGTGTTTTAACCTACAAGTTTTTAACCAAGTTGTTAATGTTTTTACCAAGAATAAAACTAATAAAGTTGATTTTTAAGGGGCGAAAATGAAAATAAAAGAAAAGTCAATAGACTGTTTATGTAAATCACCCTAAGAAGATAGCAGACTATGAGGTTGTTGATGATACAAACTTTTATGTATGCAGTCATTCGTTTCGCCCACACCAGAAC